AGCCGTTCCCTGCGGTGATGCCCCGGGAGAAGCCACTTCTCCGCTCCCGCCCCCCCGGCAGCCCCGGCCCCGCCGCGCCCGGGGGTCTCTGCGCCCCGGTTTGGGGGTCTGGGTGCCCGCCTCGGCTCGCAGGTGGCAGCGGGGCCCGGGGGAGCGAGCGGAGCGCCCAGCCCCGGGATGGGGAGTCTCGCACCTCGGCACGAATCCCCCCGGCGGGAAGAGAGGGCGAGCGGGGATGGGGGAAGCTGCCGGCGGCTGGGTGGGAGATGGAGAGAGATTTTACCGGGCCGTGGGTGGGAGAAGAAGAGAGGTTTTACCGGCCCGTGGGGGCACCTTGCTGGAGGGGGAGGGGGTCACAGCTCGGGGGAGAAAGGGGCGTTCCCATATGAGGGCGCAGAATGAAGCACAAGGGTGCCCTTGAAGTCGACGTTGAAAGCATCACCCTCTCAGCTGAGCAGCAGCAGAAGCGTCTCCAGACATTTCCAGTGCCTGGAGAGCCAGGTCTACGCTTCTTTCCCGTTTTGAACATTTGCGTGTGGTTCTCCTTCTTGCCTTTGCACAGTCACATAAACTTCACAACTCTTTGTGTCTCTGTTCTTTATTTAATTCAGGTGCTTACCAAAGTTGGCTAGAGTATTTCACTGTTTAAGAGTTACAGTGTAGCTTATTCGCAACAGTTTTAACATATCGCAACAAGTTTTAAACTTTACCCATAAAGCAGTTTGAGAAGCATTCTTCTTCCCTCCCCCCTCCGCAACTTAACCCATTTGAACTAAACATCAGAAATTTAGTCAAAGCTGAAAATCAGGGGCTGAAATCAGGATTATGGATCTAACAGTTCTGTAAAGTCTTCCCTTGTGGGCCAGTTGTATGCAGTGTGCAGGATGTGCTCGCAGCTTGGAGCCCTGTCTTTTTTGTGTATTAATGATCAACTAAGAAAACCATTTAAATCTACAGTAATAGAAAATACACGTTGCATCTGTGCAAAAAGCCCGGTCCATCAGATGCAATAACAGAGACAAGATTACTACCACTTTTTCTCAGTGGGATTGAATGAAGTTGTAGTATGAAAAGCATCCTTTCGTATGAATTTTTAATTATAGTTTATTTGTGAAAACACGTTTGTACAAGTTCACTAGCTGGCAGAAAGGTACACTTTACGTGAAGGTTCTCACCAGGCTGACCTTGCCATCAACAGAGAGAGAAAAGTGCTTTCCTGAGGTCATTTGTCTCCAAAGTGTCTTTAATCTCCAAAGTGTGTGGTGTAAATTGCTGTCTGGAGGTGCCACTCACACACCATCTAACCTAGAAGGAACTAGGAAATTATTTTTGGATTAAAAACGTGACCTTTCAATGGCTAAAACTGGTGAGATCTTTCATATCTAGGTGTAGTGCCATTCCCCTGGCCATGACGGTAGCCAGAAAACACACAAACAGGACAAATGGAAAGCTTTTCCTGTTCCTGAAACCGTTCTCTCCCACATGTAGGTGAGATGTGACCGTAGGAAGGTTAAGGTGTTTCTAAGCTTACGAGAACAAGTGTAATTAGTTAGGCACTACTGTGTTGAGTGTTGCTTAATGTAAGTCGAGCTATTTTATTCTTCTTCTTCCTTAGCCATACAAGTGTCATCTCATGGAGTTAAATGATCAAGCTAATTTTGAGACTTCCTAATAAATAATAAGTTTTTTTCTAATAAAGGCATCTATGAATGAAAATAAACCCCCAACAAAACCTACCAGGAAAAAAGAGAATGGTAAATATATTTTACTGTTCCCCCCCCACCTTATATTTTTCTCCCATTTGTTTCTTCTGAGCTCAGCTGGTGTATAAAAGGAGTTAATGATGATAATGAGCTTACATTTACTGTGCCTTTCTTCCTGAAGAGTCCCAAAGGGCATTACAAATAGATATGATAAATTCACTGCTTGTTCTTAAAGGATACTGAGGAGTATTGCTTCTGGCTTTTATATGGAAGGAGCAGACAGCAGTTAGCAGACATACTGCCCTTCTGTATGCTTCTGCAAGAAATATGGATCTTGAAGAAGAAGGTTAAGCAGTGTTTGGTTTACGTCACTGATCCTTTAATGGTGAGATAAGAACTGAATCGTGCATAGGTTTTCCACTGTCAGCATTCCACCTGCTTTGCAATAGAGAAAATTGATTTTTAAACATGTAAACCTCTCATAAATTATTATTCTTTGCTTACATCTTGTGACGTTTCTCTTACTTCATTAAGTATTTGGCTTGTTAAAAATAGCAGCACATGAAAAAAAAAAAAAAAAGGATTTTGTAGCTTGTAGCCATATAACCACCTACCTGGAATGGAGGAGCTTGTTGTACTTAGTAGGCGTGATGGAAGTGTTCTTCTGGGCTTTTGTCTTGCTAAAACATTTACATCAGAGGTACTCAGACGAATGATGTTTCCTAGAGGATTCTTGTCTCATTGAGACTTAGTTTTGTGTAGAGTTAAGTGTATGTACACCTCCAGAATTACCTAATTCTGCCTGTCTAAAAAGGTCCTCTTTTACTGGCTTTAAAAACAGTTTATTTGCCATTACAATAGTCCCCTCCTTACTATTGCTGCCCTGTCAGATGCTGAATTTTAGTGTTGTAAGGTTGCATTTTCCCAATTTCTTTGGTCTCAAATATTTAACTGAAATTCTACTGCAGTCCATACATTTTCTGAGTTTATTCTTTGTGGGGAGGGGGATGGGGAGAAGGAAGGGGAGTTATTGATTTATTATTCTTTTTTTTGGTGGGGGTGGTGCATACGTCCTGTGTCTTTCAAATAATGTTGATACTTCTTATGATAAGATCTTCCTTTAGGATAGAGCTCCTACTCTGGGATACTCTGATACAACCTCCAGTTCAGTCAGGCTTTCACAACTCATAGCGTGCTTCTCTTCTAAAGGAGTTGTACATGTTTTGACAGTCTTTCTACCAATTCATGCATCAGCCTAGAAATAGTCTCACAAACCACAAACAGACATTTATATTTATAACACATTAAAAAAAAAAAAAAAAAAAAGAAAAAGAAAAGCATTTTTCTCTGTCAGATGAGGGAACTAAAATTCAGAGATGTTTTTGCAGCCAAAATCTATAAAAGGAAAACTGTAAACATATTCCTACATGAAAAAATATAAAATGATGGAATTTGAAAGTTTTCCAAATACACTCATTCTTTTTTGTTGGTTTTCTACAACATTTCAACTAGGATAAAGAAGTAAATAGGCTTTCAATGCCTGCAATGTTGGTTTTTTGACATCTCCAGTACTCATTACCTGAAAAAGTGATGGTCTTAGCCTGAACGTGTTACTGTGTTGCAGGAAGAAAGCATTATTGCTGTCCTTTTTAGCTCTCCTCAGGGACCATATTCAACAGGTAATCAACAAAGAAGAAAAGGAGTACATTTCCTAAAATAACTTATATTCTTTTTTATTATTAAACTATGGTGTTCTCAGCTACCGTACACTCTACTCTCCTTCCTTGTTTAGGCAAATGTCATAGGACAACCTTTTTCCTTTTTTTACTTACGCTGTCTTCTTACATCTCACTGGGGTTTGATGTGTATTATCTTGTCATAAACATCTGAGTTCAGAGAGAACATAATTTCTGTGATATGGTATCATTGGAATTTTTATTTCAGACAAATCAAAACCTCCTAATCAATGGAAGGACTTTTGTTGTTGGATTCAGTTGCTTATATGTCTGGGTTGGGCTCTGTAATAATAAATAAATGCTGAAAAGTTTGAAACTGAAATTCAAAAAGGAATTCAAGATTTAATGATAATATTGGGAATTTCCTGTAATCGCTATCCTGATTCTGCATTTATTGATGTCCGTTAGGAAAGCTTAGGATAGCTCCTGAGTATAGATTGCTGTTCCTATTTTAAATTATAATATTTTTCCTTTTAACCTTTCTCTTTTGCTGAAGTTTGACTTCTGTTTTAAAGAGTAAGCATCAGTGCTCCTACCACATAGTCCAAATAGGTTTGTTGGTATCCTGGTTTTGAAAGATAAGTTCCA